GCCGAGTCTGCTGAGTTTTTGTTTAACCAAATGCCAGTAAGGGATATTATTTCTTGGACAACCATGATGAATTGCTATTCTCGGAACAAAAGATATAGCGATGTGATAGCACTTTTTCATGACATGATCGAAAAAGGAATGATTCCTGATGAAGTGACCATGACCACTGTCATTTCAGCTTGTGCTCATCTAGGAGCCCTTGACTTAGGAAAGGAGGTACACCTTTATTTGATGCTGCATGGATTTGATCTTGATGTATATATTGGGTCTTCACTGATTGATATGTATGCAAAATGTGGGAGCATAGATAGGTCCCTCTTGGTGTTCTACAAATTGCAAAATAAAAACTTGTTTTGTTGGAATTCTATCATTGATGGGCTCGCAACACACGGCTATGTGGAAGAAGCGCTAAGAATGTTTGGTGAAATGGAGAGGAAAAGAATCCAGCCAAATGCAGTTACATTCATTAGTATCCTAACTGCTTGCACACATGCAGGGCTTATAGAAGAGGGTCGTCGCAGGTTTACGAGCATGACCCAGTATTATGGTATAATTCCTCAAGTTGAACACTATGGATGCATGGTTGACCTATTGAGCAAAGCTGGTTCGCTTGAGGATGCTTTAGAGATGATCAGAAACATGGCACTTGAACCTAATTCTTTTATTTGGGGTGCCTTATTGAATGGGTGTAAGCTTCACAAAAACATGGAAATAGCTCACATTGCTGTTCAGAATCTGATGGTTTTGGAGCCAAGTAACAGTGGGCATTACAGTCTCCTTGTTAACATGTATGCTGAAATAAATAGATGGGATGAGGTTGCAAAGATTCGAACAACCATGAAGGATCAGGGTGTAGAGAAGAGATGCCCTGGATCTAGCTGGATTGAAATCAATAAGAGAATTCATCAATTTGCAGCTTCCGATATATATCACCCTTCTTATAGTCAACTTCACTTGTTGCTAGCTGAACTGGATGACCAGCTGAGGCTAGCAGTCTACGTACCTGAAGTGGGGCCTATTTTATAATGATTTAAGCTCTTCCTAGTATTAGAATCCTTAGGAGGAGGACGGATATCTTTATCAAAGAAGGGTTGAGATTATAAGGCACTTTATGCACAGTGAAAAAATTCATGAAAAACCTTGATAAATCCTTGAATGGTATACTCAAAATATTTTTTATGCTCCTTTCTGTCCTGTCAAATATTTCATGTATTCTGACTGCTGAAGCAGCAAGTCAAATTAGATGTTTGTGAATACACAGCTAAAATAGAACTTCCTTTTAATGCATTTAGAGTAATAGCAATGGCAACAGGTTCGAGAATTATTCTTCAATATTGTTTTGCAAAGCATGCTAGTCTTGTTTTCCTTTACTGCTTTAATGTTGATGCACAAAAATTCAAGCACTGTCTCTAGGCAAGGTATTTTGGATATTGAGATAGTTCCCAGTAATGTCAACATAATGGATGATCAATATGCAATCGCTTACATTGTAACAGAAAGTGAAGAGTATTTGGCAGACCTAAGGTTGGTGATGTTAGATTCCTCAAGTAGTTTCTGGCCTACAGTAATTGTTAACGAATCCAAACTAAAAATCTTCTTGCTAGGGATCTTTCTATATGCTAATAAATATTTATACTGCACGCGAGTGTTACTGTTTATTGGCAACTTGTTTATTCATGAAGGTAACCTGTAAAATAGGATAGCTCACTCCCAAGTTGGTGTCATTTTGTTCTCAGAAGCCATTATTCTCTTCGAACTATCCCGGCACTAAGCCAATCTGTTTGAGAATATATTTTGTACAAAGATTAAATTGACTTCAAAATGCAATCACTAGGTGTTTGACTGATTGAAACTTTAATTTAGTCTATAGATAAAATGGAGGGGAAACCGCATGGATATACCGGAATTTCACCTCGTGTTGAAGTGTCATGAACGTGGGAACATCGATAGTTCCATTCCAGCTTCCGCATGATGATATCCGTACCAAAAAATTTTACCACCTAATTATCTAAACTATCGATTTTTAAAGCCTTTTTTGTTTTTTGCATTATAAATGTTTTCACAAATATAATGCCAATGATGACAACACACAAGTGATTTGAAGCTTTATTTTAGAGATCCTTAGGAGATAATTTTACGTCTTCAAGTTAAGGAAAATCTATAAATTTATCCTTAAACTTTTAAGAAAATTCCTGTACATCAATAATTTCTATTATCAGAAAATCCTGCTTTTCTTATATACGCAACTTTATATATTTTGTAACTTCTTTTCTTATATCTACAGGGAATTCAATAATTTCTAGTAGTGGAGATCCCACCTGATGGAAGTGGCAAATAGATTTTAATTCAATTTAGTAGTCCTGGAAGATTTGGTTTCTTGATGAATGTGGTTCCACCGTTCTAGTTTATTATTCATTTTGATCCTTGCTTGGAGGTAGGAAATGGTATGAAATGCTATACATATACTTGCTTTTCCATCTCCAATTTCTGTTGCATTGATATGTTGATTGTTAACTAGTATTAACTTTCTAAGGCTGTATTAGCATTTTGAATATTATGTAACGAATTGAATTAATTCATCCAATGCAATGAACTTGTGTGTTTTCTTTTGATACTTGTTTTCTATTTAGGAATGCCCACTATTCTTGTCTTGATTTTCAAGTAGTCTTTGTGTGTGTTTGGTTCAGATTTTCAACGTGATAAATCACGTTAGAATGGAAATTATCAGTTATAACTTTTACGTTTTAAACGTGATTTTTGCTCTGAATCACGTTTTAGACGTGTAACCAAACATGCACGTTGTTTCTTTCGGCGATAAGTGGTAAAAAAGCAAATGGAAGGCAGAAGCACGTTGTGCTCTTCCATTCTTTTCCCATCATTTCTGCTTTACTAATTGTATGCGTAATGCCACCACATTTAAAGTGATTCATGAGTATTACTCGTGAAACTGGAGTTGCTGCGGTTGGATTTTGATTTCTGATGTTTTTTTAGGGTAGGGAGTTTTTTATAGTTCAAATTTGTTAGCAGCTTTAGATGGTTAAGTTGCACTTCATATCAAGAATTGTTCCCATAGATCTTAATTTAGTGTAAATTTTAGTGACAAATTTTGGTTAATTTTATTTTCTTTTTTGTAGCTTGCTTCAACTTTTGAGAATTGTTTTTGTCTGTTTCTTTCCTCCCTTTGCTTCGTATTCCAAATTCCGAACCACTTTCAGATCATGAATGGAATGGTATGACAATGACACCATCATTCTGCATAATTTACCCAAACATTAATTAGGTACATGTTCTTTTCTTGTTAGGTGCATTCAATTTCTACACGTTTAGGGTGTTTGATGCTATGATGAAAATATTCTTTGCTCAAATTAATTCCCCATCAAGACCACTAGGTTCACCTTAGTAAATTTTCAGATTTTTTACATTAATTAAAAAGAAAATAATTATAACTTTTACGTTTTTAAGCAGAATTGACGTGTCCAATGACGCATAAACGGAATTTCCAGGGAAAATGTTAGCTTGCATGGGAAGATATTCGCGAATTTTGAATGAAAATGGCGTGGTTAGTTGAAAAAATATGATGAATGTCCAGTTATTTTCACAATCACGTTTGTTCTTAAATTAACTATCTAGGTTCCGTATGCATTTTCACTTTGTCAATTTTGTAAACTTTTGTCATCATAAATTATTGGCTAAATTTTATTGATATCAGAAAAAATTCAAATCTTACATTGACTTGAGATAAGTTGATTAAAAAATATATAAGTGAAGATAATTCTTATCTTATAAACTGATATTTTAGGATTAAAGATTCATAATCACATCTAAAATGTTAGGAAAATACAATTATTCAAAAACCTTCCTTTTTAAAACTCAACTACCTCTTAATTCAATAACTAAAATAACTATCCCAAATTACTCAACTCTTTCCTCAAATAATAATTTAATTAATTAATTATAAAACCTTACAATATATCTATATACATATACATATAAAATAATTAAAACAGTTATTAAAACCAACCCAAATAATTATAAGAAAAATATAATAAGTATTAATCAGCAAATATATAATTTTTAATTAAAAAATTCAGAATGTTACAAAATACATCTGGTTGTACATAAAATAAGTCATCGAAGTGTCCAAAATCAACAATTAACCTACAAATTAAAAATTGTTTCAAAATATATGTTAAAAAAAGTATCAACAAATATCTTTCTTAAATTAATTATATGTTTGCTTCAATGTTGATAATGATATCCTCCGGGTGTAAAATAAAGCCAACAAAAAAATTTAAGAAAATAAAAAGATTTTTAGAAGAAAAAATTTAATGTAGAAATTAAAAAAAAAAAAAAAAAACTAATACTTACCTTTCTAAGCAATAAAAAATATTTATATTGGGGTTTAGTATCCTTAACTTTTGAACAAATTTGCATAAGAAGAAGAAATTCTATAAAATTCTCAAGTTAATCATCAACCAAATATAAATTTCTTGTAACCCATAAAAATATTCTATTAATTATAATTTGTTTTTATTTTATAATAAATATGTGTTAGTTATAAATGTGTTAATCAATTAAAAGTTGAGTAAGCATCAAAAAGTAGAAAGTAAGAGTATAGTTGAAAAAAAATTATTATACTAAACTTTGAAAACACCAAATAAATAAAAATTAAATTCGTCTAAAAAATCAATAATTAAAAAATAGAGCAAGTACAATAAAACCATGGAAAATTATTGCAATAAAAAGTTCATTTTAAAGTTAAGTTTATTTTTTTACTTAGTATAAATAATTTTTTTAATATATGTTTGTTTATTTATTTTTTTTTTTTTACTTATTATATAGAAATTTTCTTACTTCTATGTATTATTTTTTTGAACCTAACGCATCTTTTTTACCCTATTTTTCTTTTATTTCTACTATTTTATTTATTTCTTTCATGTTTTCTTTTCTTTCTATTTTAGTCATTAATCAAATAAAACACCGAGAAAAATTGATTGTAAATCCTCAAATATTCATTTAGAATCAAACACAGAAAAGATCCTATATTAAAAATTCAAATCGAATTTTACAGTCGAACTAACATGTCCTCTAAACGAATTCCATATCAAGAGAATGATAATGCAGATTTGCTTCCAATAATTCTTTGACAAATTAATCACACTAAACATATAAATATATAGCATAAGAAATATTTTAAAAAATAAAAAGATCACCCCTATTAGAGTTATTCATAACCTTTTCTATGTATGAACGTAAATATAACATAATTGTATTTGCACAGTACAACACGAAAAGTAAATTTTAACATCTAAAAAAATTGTTAGTCAAGTAGAAATAAAATAAATAAATAAATATATATATATATATATATATATATATATATATGTATATAAAGAGAGATTTATTTACTTCAAGACTAAGTCTATTTAGATTTATTCCATTTAATAACACATGTTCTACATTAAGTCTCAAGAACCTAACAGTTGAATTTAAAGTTCTTAATACATAGATCAAGTCTATAATTTTTTTAAAAATTTGAAAATCATTTGATACTTTTTTTCATCAATTCTAATCAACGTGTAAAATATTTTTATGATTATACATAAATTTGAATTAATGAAATGAAGTATCAAATAGTTTTCAATTTTTTAAAAAAATTTCAGATTTGATCGATGTATTAAGAATTTTAAATTCTACGGTTAGATTGTCAAAATTTGATATATAACATGAGTTATTGAACGGAATAAATTTAAATAAACTTATTCTTAGAATAAACATATATATATATATATATATATATAAAAGATGTTAAAGTTCAAATTAAAACCTTCTAAAGAAAGAAATTACTGACAAATCAACAAACAAAGCTAATTGAATCAAAGAGGAAGGTCCTGAAAAATATGGACCCCTTTGATAACAAACATCCATGTTTAGTCATGTTATCAACAACATGGTTGGTTTCAAGAAAAATGTGTGTACATGTCACTTTGTGATCATTACCAACAACATTAATTAACTACTTTGTTCACCAAGGAGTAACTTGAACGGTATGCAAAGTAACCATCGTTTAAAAACTTAACTTGTCAAAGTCGACTCGATATCTACTAAGATAGCTCCAATGAGATGCCTATCACAAATATATTTAAGGTCATGGTAGATAATCTAAAGTTCAAATTAAACTATCAAACATAAACCCAAATTGTAAGAGAAAGTCACAATAAAATTATCTCATGAATCACAAACTATAGTGTCATAAGATGTGACTCCATTCTTAATAACAACA